GACAAACATCACTAATTTATTGGCCTTCTGTCTGTCTTGTAAAACGTACACGAGCACCAAGTTGTAATTTAATTTGGCGAGCAGGCAGAAATTAATGAAGGCGAAAAAGCCACTAAATCATACAAGGGGCGCTGGCTGCTTTTCGGAGCAAGGCCATTTCCACCCGGACCGGAGCAAGGCTGGAGTTAAGTGGTCTTTTTGCAGCTGCTTTGGGGAGGCRGCGGCTGCCAGCGCCTGGGCCTGCCGCAGTATCTGGAAATAGATAAATAAGGGCCCCTCTTTGATAAACCGCGCCCGTCCCTGCGCTGCACAGGCACATGCGAAAGCCAGAAGGGTGAGGGGCGGCTCTCCTCTGGGTATTGTGATCCAAGGACCAGCGTGTGAAGATGTTTTGCCCGAGAATTGGCGGCTGCCAAAAAAAAAAAAAAAAAGCTCTTTCATTGACCATTGCTTTGAGGAATTAAAAGGATGGTGTAATGCAGATAAAGCAGGGGCGTTTTGCAAGCTCTCCCAGTGACCATGCCTTGGCTAGTTAACAGACCAGCTATTCAGAAGCAATTTTCTTTGGGCTGAAATTATGTGCTGACCGTAGCAGATCACTTCCCATAATAACCCTTCCCCCACCTGATGCTAAATACAATCTGTCTCCTACTCACTGTATAATAACGTGAAAATGACTGTAATTTTGCAGGCGAGAAGCAGACCAAAGTGAAACGTGTCTAAACAGAGGTTGATTTTGAGAGATCAGGGCTATTACCTAAATCTGAAAAATACATACTGTTAAAAAAAAAAAAAAAAAAAAAAAAANGTGTCTAAACAGAGGTTGATTTTGAGAGATCAGGTCTGAACTCCAGTCATGAAAAATACATACTGTTAAAAAAAAAAAAAAAAAAAAAAAAAAAAGCATCAGTGATGAGCAAATAGGTAGCATAAGGAGCAGGCTTGGTGTTGTGGCTGGTGTTAAAACGGCCCCTAACCGCCCATCAGCAGCAGCAGCCTCCGAGTCCCTGCACACGGGGTCAGGGTCACCCCCCGTGTGGCAGCGGACTGCAGGGGGGCCACGCGGACCGCTCCCTCCGCGGGGCCCGGGCCAGGCGGGCAGGCAGCTCCCGCCACGGTTTCCGACGCCCCAAACGCTCGGCCTGTTTGTTTTCTTCCCGTAATCGCTGAGAAATGCAGCGCAATGGAGGGCCTGCCCGGCGAGGGGCTCATCGGTGCTAATAAACCCTTGGCTTTCGGCCCCCGCAGGGGAAATGCTCTTGCACCAGGAGCCGTGTTTTCCCCCGGGATGTCCGCAAGGCCCCCAGGGGAGGCTGCTGGCCGCCCCGCAGCCCTCGCCTTGGCGCCGGGGTCCCGGGGCAGCGGGCTCCCTTCGGCTCACGGGGCAGGCTGGCTCGACTGGAGGGAATATGAAGGGGTTTGTCAAACCGTCGGTCACACCGGCCGCCCTTCGGCATCCCTATGGAAACCGTGACTCGGGCATGGCTTGTGTTTGGTGAGAAAAAGAAATGAAAAAAAAAAAAGGAGAAAGGTCATCTAGAGMGAGATAAACATAAATAAATAAATAAATGAGTAAATAATGAGGGGCCCTTCGTGAGCGTATGAGAAATAACGGGTGCGGCCGTTACGGCCGTTGAGCGGCAGCGCGCGGGCACCAACGGCCGCGGCGAGGCGGGAGCGGGGCTCCCCTCCCCCCTGTCCGCCCTGTGGCGACGGCGGCCGTGGGGGACACGGGGGCAGCGCCGCGGGGCGCGCGTGGCTGGGCGGGCACGGGGACAGCCCCACGGGGCACGGGTGGGAGCGGCGGGGCCGGGGGCAGCCCCACGGGGCGCGGGTGGGGGCGGCGGGGCGCGCACGTGTCCCGGGGCAGCGCGCGAGGGGTTAAGCGCCATTCGCCGTTGGTGCAGGGCGTAATGGCTCCCGAGCCTAAACAAAAGGGATGATTAAGGGAGGGGGGTGAGGGGGGGGATATTTTCGAGCTGCACAAAGCCCGATAGGGAAGATTTGTGTTACTAATTCCTGTGAAAGGATGTTCACGTGGTAGTTATATGGTCGCTCGCATTCACAGTTCAGTGCTTGCGGCAGTAAATCAGGAGCCTGGAGACAAAAGGGTTATTTTCTGC